CTTTTTTAAATACTCGCCTCGCGTACGGTAACCTTTGGGGTTTTAAGTGCAACAAATGCAATGCAAACGTAGCGAAAATGCGAGTGTCCAGGGCAAGATAACCTGACGGAGCCCGCCACAGATTGCTTTTGAGTTCGATTTCCCTTCTTCTTGGCTGGTTGATTCCTAATGTTTAAAGAACAATGTCCGACCTATTTGTGACACCTTTTAGGGTTGCTAGAAGAAGAAAATAAAAAAAGGAAAGAAACAAAAAAGAAAGGCGAGAGTTAAATTTAGATGATAAAAAAGCCATCACAAAAGGGACAGTAAGCGGTGTTATTTTGACAAGGAAAAATGGTGAAAATTTTTATTGCCATTGTCGAGAATTCTAAATAGATAAAAATTAACTGTGTCATGGTGGCGAACTTATATTATCGGGAATAGATAACGCCGGGATGTGAAAGCGTCTAACGGGCCAACCGCTTGGTGACGGCGAAAAGCTAATTGACAAATTCCAGGATTGGCCAGCTAACCTCCGAGAGAGAATTCTAAATAGATAACCATTTAACTGTGTCTTGACTCCCTCTGAGGGTATGGTGAGATACCCATATGAGAACAGAAGAAGGTGGGAGTAGGAGAAGACTTCCAAAAATGGAAAGGAGTGGAAATTTCCTGACCGAAAACAAAGAAGTGGAATGTGGATTTGGAATTATCAAAGAACCTCAAACCCCGACGAGCCCACCCCGGTTTTGGGTCGGCGTCCATATAAGCAAAGTCGCAACGAGTGAAAATCAGTTCGAGTTGAGTTCCAGATCCAGATCCGGTTGGAAATGACTCACAAATTTTACTTTTTCACCTGAAGACACACCAAGAACCAGTTTCTTAAAGAACAGACAACTTAAGATGTTAAGAATCGCCTAACAAAAACAACGTGTCACGTATCCATATAGCAGGTTGTGAAATAGACGCAGTCCTGTATCCAGCAACCAGATATAAAATATTGTTATCCTTTTTAACACATTTGAAGTTTTCGAGTTATTATTTTATTTTATTTTACACATACTTGTGCGATATCACCCTTATTCGAACTCAGCTTGCATTGCGGCCCCGGCGACTCATTGATTTCGTCTGCCTAGATCAATTCACAACGTGGGTAGGTAGACTGGAAATCAAAGTAGTTACTTCGGTAACCAGACGTTGGAGGCGAGTTGGGAACGACGAGGCTGATATCGAATCTAACCAGATTCTCATCCGAATCACCAAAAGGTTAGAACGTCACATTTGGTGTCGCGACCAATACCAAGCCAGTTGGTCTTCACAAGACAGGATAGCACGACTGACGCAGACAGGCGGACGTCACGTTTGGAGCGGCGACACCCAGGGGCGTCACATATTATTTAATCCATAGAGGAGAATGAAAATGATCCATGCCGTTCCCAAGAGAATTTCTGCGAAAGAGAACGTTTCAGACTAAGCCAGAAGTTGAACTTGGCTTTCTTTATACTCTCATCATGTCATCTCATCTCATCCTCTTGACGTTTGTAATCGTAGAGGCGGAACCTAATGCTTCTTCATTCGTCTCCCCACTGCCATAACGGTCTATCACCGGCAGCCATCAGCAATTCTGGTGTAGCCATTCTTGTTCATTGTTTGACATTGTCCAACCAGTTTTTTCGTTGGCGTCCTCTCTTACATCCTCCTTCAACGATGTCTCGAATGAGGGTCGTGCACAGGCTGTTGGTGCTTCTTCTCACCTCCAGAAAACCCAATTTTATGTTCATTTTGCGTAGTTGTTTCGCCAAACAAAATTAATCTGACTTAAGACATTCCAATTATGTCTCAGAGATAACGTTTCAGTTCATGGGTAAGTTTGAGGGTACTTCCGGGTCTTCTAATGTGCGGACCTTCCAGGTTCCTATTGTCCGTTGATAACCTGATACTATGTTTCGTAGTAGCCGACTAATCTTGCACATTCTGAAGTGGTTCAATGGTTCTTTATACTACTCGAACACAGAGTTAGTTTGGTATGGATTGGTTTATTTAATGCCGATAAGATTTTTATTGTTGGTAATTTTTTTTCAAAAGTGTATTGTTGGTAATAATTTTTTTCAAAAATGTATTGCTAGTAATATTTTTTTCAAAAACGTACTGTTGGTATTAAAGCATATATTTATACATAGAGTTTTGGCCCTTTTAGCTGGGACCCTGCGAGGTGCTACCACCCCCGGTCTGGGTGGACCTGGGAACACTAGCAATTAAGAGGAGGTTTTACGCTCCTCAAAACCACCTGATCAAAGGCCTTGCGGTCGGATGTAGTTTATCGTCTTACCCAGGAGGCTGATGTCGTTATATCGTTTTACTGCGTTGGAGTTAGATTAGGGCACATAAAATATCCAGATAAACAGCAACTAAAAATAACGGAAGCTTATATGAACCGTAGTACGATCTAACTGTGACACTTTGTGTGGAACCTCTTTTGGGATTCAAGCATCCCCAAGCATCGCTAAAGATTCTGGTCTGTTCGTTGTACTGAACCAGAAAATGCCTCACTACTTCTGATAAGCCCTATCGTAAAAATACCTGACTATTTCTGATATGACCTATCGTAAAAATACCTCACTACTTCTGATATGCCGTGTCATAAAAAATACCTCACTACTTCTGATATGCCCTATCGTAAAAATACTTCACTAATTCTGATATCCCCTATCGTAAAAATACCTCCCTACTTCTGATATGACCTATCGTAAAAATACCTCACTACTTCTGATTTGCCCTATCGTAAAAAAATACCTCACTACTTCTGATACGCCCTATCGTAAAAATACCTCACTACTTCTGATATGCCCTATCATTACGTGAGCTGGATCAAGCCCAAAAATAGTGGTGTACTAGTGCACTACACGGTCCTCACTTTTCCGCCTAGACAGAATTCAAAAACGGTTACATGTGGGTGATAAAATATTTTCAAACCTGAAATCCCTTCCCCACGGACGAAATGTTCCTATCCTGTCGCTGGTCTATCGCAATTCATCGTAGATATTCAGACGACTTAATTTCCTTAGTTTCACCAGATAAGATTTTCTCATCTCTAGGACACAACATACCGCATTCACAGTGTCGGCTCATCCTAATTCCCTTCGTATACAATTAGAAAGGAGGAAGTTTCACTAAGATAGCTTCTTGCCTGCAGATTTTAGGTTGTGAAACAGTCAACCCCGAGAGGATGATCACTACAATCATTGAAGTTAAGCAACGTCGAACCTGGTCAGTACCTAGATGGGTGACCGCTTGGGAATATCAGGTACTCTAAGCTTCAATGTGCAGACGGTATAATAGATAATGGTTCGGAATTTTTAATCGGAGAGCCCATTTCCAATTCCAGTCACGTTCGTTATATTAATTTACGCGCAAGTACCCTTGGGAAAGGTAGGAATCTAGCTCGTCTCCCCCACCCCACTATAGATATGGGTTAATCCACTTCTTCTCCCCTACCACAGATATTGCTTAATCATTATTATCCTCCGAAAAATTCTTACCGTGTACAAACATATTTGCTGGCTTTAAATAACCTACAAAGGCTTGATAAACTGTAGAAAACAAGTCAAAAATTAATGATCCCTACATAGGATCATATCATCTTACAGAAGCTGTCTACACGGGACTTTATTTGGAACACACTTCCGGACATTCTAGAGGATGCACTCCTGCTAATACGATGACACATGTGGTTCAACCATGATGGAATTCGAGCATATTTTAATTACATTGTTCGCGATGCACTGGCTGATATCTTCTATGAAAGATGGATAGGTTCCATGGCCTGCACGTTCCACCGACCTCAATCCTATGGATTTTTATCTGCGTGGCCACATTAAAAATAGTTTACGACATTAATAATGCAGAGACGCTTCTTTAACGTGTCATCGGGCCCTTCAAAACCATTTGACACCGTGTGGAAGTATTTGAAAGGGTCCGCCAGTCAAGGATCCGACGGGGGCATGCGTGTGTAGAAGCGAGCGGAGGACATTTGGAACATTTGTTATACGTTGCTGTGTTGAGATACAACAATGGGCTTTTGGACATGTGTCTATATGGACATTTTGCCATGTTTGGTGTCAAGGACCCTCCTCCAATATTTGTGAATGTATTCTGGGATTGCATCTTGGATTCTACATTTAACAGTGTCTACTGTAAAATTTAAACTTAATATGTAAAATCGAAGAAATTGGGAGATATGTTTATGTGACCTTTTGTCCTTGCTTGTCGAAGTATTTTTGATGCACCCTGTATATGCACTGTCGCACATTGAGCTGTGGCGATAATAAAATACACATAATATATCATATTTATTATATCAAACTCCAACGTCTGCATGTCCTATTTTTTTTATTTAGTTATTAAATTTCTGGCTAAGTTGATTTATGTCAGAATTAAAGTTCTTAAACTTTTCAAGAATTCAAGAATTATGTTCTTACTCTTTTTATGATTAATTAACGTCTGTAGAAACAGGGGAAAGTACTCAGATTAAACAAAATGAATTTTGAAAAGTTGACCAATTGTATAAAACAACTTAACCGGAAGTTGGAAAACTTAATAAAAAAATAGGATATGCAGACCTTGTCGATTATATTAAAGTTGTTTAATAAAAAAAATAAAAATAATAAAATAATAATATAATTTGATAGACAGACCTTGTCGGTAATGTTTAAAAAAATTGTTTAATAAAACAGCAACAACAAAAAATGAATAAAACATTGAACAGACAGATCTTGTCGGTAATGTTTAAGACAACTAGTTTAAAAGACTTGTTGCTGCTGAAATACATCTCTCTCTCACACACACACACACACACATATATATATACAGAATATATATACATATATATATGTGTGTGTGTGTTTTTCTGTGAGCACGGGCGTGTGTGTGTATTTATGTGTGTCTGTATGTGTGTATGTGTGTGCGTTGGTAATTTTTTTTTTCTGTTTACATTCTCAAATTCTTCTGGATATCATGTGCTCATGTCAGCTAATATCCCCATCGCAGCCGTGGGTCGGATATCAAATGTAAACTCCGGCTTTGCATCGCGTAAGAAATCTGCCCAATCCGTATCAATAGAATCTTCACTTTCAAAAGCCGTTCTGCAGGAACCAATATTTTGATTGACAACTTTTAGCTTTATTTCTGGACCGACATAACCAATGCGTCGCCTTCCTTCGGAGATTTTTATTTTCGTCTCGGTCGCCGCATCAGATCAAAAAACCAAGCCAATTACCATTACCATTACACACACACACACACACACACACACACACACACACACATATATATATATATATATATATATATATATATATATATACACACGTTATTGGGCACCTCAAGGCGGTGTAATGGTTAGCAAGGTTTCCTCGCCTCATATTTTTCGGCCTTGTGCCGCATCTGAAAATTGCTATATATATATATGTTATGAAATTTACTAAGTCCATATTATTTTAAGATATCTCTTGTTTATACAGTATTTTATAGATACACATATTTAAGGAAATGCTCTGTTCATAACACACACACACACACACACACACACACACACACACACACACACATATATATATATATATATATATATATATATATATGAAGAAAGATACTCTTAAGGTGTGCTATATTTATGGGATAAAGTGCTCAATATCAGAGATAGAGCGTGTGTAAATATAAAAGTGAAGACAGAAGTCAACACTTAGAGGCGACAGTCTGTTTCATGCTAAGCGCAATCATCAGGTCACACCTGGCATCAGTCTGTCACTTCTGTGTGTTGACTTTAATATTCACTTTTATATATATATATATATATATATATATATATATATATATATATATATATAAAAGTGAACATAGAAGTGAACACTTAGAGGCGACAGTCTGTTTCATGCTAGATGCAATCGTCAGGTCTCATTGCATGAAACAGACTGTCGCCTCTAATGTTGACTTCTATGTTCACGTTTATTTATATATATATATATATATATATATATATGTGTGTGTGTGTGTGTGTACAGAGAGAGAGAGACAGAAAGAGACAGAGAGCGATAGATAGACAGAAAGAGAGACAGACAGACAGGTAGAGAGAGAGAGAGTTGGGTGCAAGCAGGCACAGTGAAGTAAGGGATGACAACTCGGATTGGGGAACCGAGTTCGAATTCCAGTCGTTTGATGATGCTGAGATTTCTCAATTAATGGGCCTACGAATTTAATAAGATCATTCATGTGGACAACCACGGTCTATATAGGGATGACGGCCTGATGATAGTACCAAACAATAGAAGAACCAATGGCATTATTAGAAAAATATTTTTCAAGCCATATGAAAGCCTCGACTTTGAAATAGAAGTCGATATAAATATTAAAAAAATAATCGTAAACTATCTGGATGTAGAATTGAATTTTCATACCGGCAGTGTCGACTCGTTCATGAAATCTAACGCCAAGTTAAAATGTGTAAACATTAGATCCAGACAGCCACCGAATTGTGGCTTAGTAATAGCATTTTTGTTACAATCCTATATATTCTGTGCCTTTCTCTTTGCGTTGTGAATGAAGTGATACAGATATTGTGGGGTGGGCTGAATGTGTTTTTATGTGTGCTTCTTCCTTGGGTAAGTGTTGTGGGTTTGGTTCGAAATAGCCTCGTCTAGGTTCCTCTCCGCCCGGAGTCAGAGAGGTCGACAAGAAGTTCTATTCACCTTTCTCTTTCAGTAAGAGAGCGCGCTATTTATCTTTTTAGGTAAGGCCATCCTGTGGGGGTCCTCCGGTACTCCACAACAATATGAATGGGCTGATAAAATGTGAATCGGAATGTGAAGCAATGGCAGGATAAAAAAAATAGGACAGTTTATAAATGTAACAAGTTTCCGTTTTATTAAAGCTTCATCAGAGAATGAGATATGAAGAAAGAAAGAAATTCGGGTATTTTTATTTTTGTGTGGTTTGATTTTCATTGCTTAAGCTGGTTTCACGTGCATTTGACTTGTTAGGCAGCATTATTATAAGTTATACGTTCTGAAGTCAAGGGGAGATTATGCGTCTTTTTCGAAGCCCCCCAACCAATATATATATATATATATATATATATATATATATATATATAGCCCTAAAAGAGTCAGGTACACCTACCTAGGTTTCCCTAAACGGATCGTGAAACCCTGACGATCCGTTTAGGTGAAAATCTAGGTAGGGGTACCTGGCCCTTTAGGATTATACTAGGTTTGCTCTACTTCGTGTATTGAGCACTTTACTTAGTTACTTTACTCTTTTGTTTTGTTTGTTTTTTTCTTTTGGACTCTGAGCTTGAATTCTGGACGATTGTTTTCGCCTCAATTTCCTGTTCTTAGTCCTTCCTTTTTTTATTCCTTGGGCATTGGGTTGTTCAATTACAAGCCGAAATACCTAAGGTTTTTCTAAACGTGTACCACTATATATATATATATATATATATATATATATATATATATATATATAGACAAAAGGAAAACTCATCTTAGCCAACGCATTTCGCGCCTCGTCCTCTGATGGAGTTTATCAAGGCAAATGTAAGGATTTTATCCAACGTGTATTTAGAAACAAAAGTATATATTGTCAATTTTTAAATTTTTTTAAATTTAAGAAACGCCCATAAATATTCATCACGTTAACTAAATTGTCTCAGTAAATTTCGAAAGAGGCTAAGTCATGTAATTTAAAGTTTAATAAACAAAAGTAATTTTTTTTATATAAATAATGTAATTAATATGTATATTATTTTAGTTTGGGATTAATTCATGTATCATATATTTTAAATAAAAGGTGGTCAGAATTTAAGCGTTTTCTTTTCATTTTTTAAGATTTCTTAAATACTGACATTAATGTTTTACCGTCTATTCAGTATAATATAATAACGTATACAGATGTTTCATATTTTTAATTTTACCTATTGACCTTTAAGAAGCTTCCTGGGTATATTAAATTTAAAATAAAATTAAATCTGTTTCTGATAACTTTATGTCTACTTCAAAAAATCGGCAAATCATAATTGAATACATACATAATAGATTTGTTGCTGCAATGTTCCCTAGTATCGTTGGATGACATGTCGAAGCTTCAGATTTTATTGACATGTAAAAATAACCCAACCAGCTCCACCCTCTGAACTTATTTTCATATTTTAGCGTAGATCTGACGTTTAATTGGTTACTCTAGACATACCAATAAGTATATTTTTAATTCTGACCTTATGCCTCGACATTAACTTTCGAAAAAACTTAACGATTTGTTTTTAAATTTCCCTAATAAATCATTTTTATCACAAGTCATCTATCATCACCCGAAGAAATTACAATCTGAGTAACGAAACATGAAAGTTTTTATGTAGAGATGCAAATTTCTTTATTGTAATCTATTATGATAAAAATATAATAATACTAATGGAATTCTGCTGCCATATATGGTCTGGAATCCCCGTTGATCCTCTTAAGGTCCCTGACCAAATCCAGAGACGGATATGCAATGTGATTAGTTCTGATCTGTTATCTCGTCTACAGTCACTTTCTTACAGACGTGCCGTCGCTTCCCTCTGTCTTTTCTACAAATACTTTCAGGGTAACTAATCCGATGAGCTACTTTCGCTGGTTCCCAATCTGCATGAATTTATGCGTGCTACTAGGTTGGCATCTCGGTCCCACCCTTTCACTGTCGAAACGGTTAAATGTAGCCATCTCTTGTACTCCAACAGCTTCTAACCTTGAACTTCCCGACAGTGGATCTCCCTTCCTCTTACTTGCTTCCCTGATAGCTATAATCTTCAATTATTCAAATGCAATAACAATCGACATCTTCAGATGCTTTGATCTAATTAATTCCCCGACCTTCTCTTCATCCTTTCCTCTATCACACCTTCTTACTCTCGTTCTCATTCTCTGTAACCCCTTGCGTGCTAGTGGCACTCCCGGATTGATTAGAGTGAAATGCTTAAAAATTAAAAAAATAATATATATATATATATATATATATATATATATATATATATATATATATATAAATGGCAAGATGTGTGTGTGTAACAAATGCACGGCCGCAATTTCAGTTAGCGAGAAGGCCAAGACCGACTTTGCATTTCCCAACTCCCATCGATAGTGGAAATAATCGATTTTCTCATGCTTCTATGGCAGTTTTCATGTAGTTTGCGGACATTTTGTACTGACCAGAGTGAGAGCCAATAGCTGGCTGCCACGAATAGACAGGAAGATTCTATTGGCCAGCATGAGAGCCAACAGCTGACTGACACGAATGTTAACTAGCATGCTAGCATGCAAATAAAATCGATAGCTGCATTCGTCGCAAGTAGGAAAAATTTAAATCTGCATGGCACTTTACTCCAATTGACTCATTCGCTTGCTTAAACTCAACGTTGATTCTGATTCCGCAGAACTGGGTTGGGTGTGAAAAAGTATTTGTGTTAACACTTTTTTTTCATACGGTTTTTCCACTTACGAGTCCTTTTTTAAAGCTGATCGTTTTGTGTTCATTTTGTTTAGTTTTTTTTCGTAACAGATTTAATGTTTAGTATAGAGCTTAGAAAAAATTCGCAGTGTGAGATAGGCAAGAAGTAAGGCATGTAGCAACATCAGCACAGCTGAGGGCACTCCTTTAAAGGCAAGGAAGGGCAGAAAAATTTTAAGTCAAGTGATAGCGATTGCTGTATGAGTCGTACGATTTTTGAATCAAGCACGGGCAATGCTGCTAGTATATATATATATTAGAATGCCCATATAGTGTATATGCGTATAAAAATGCACACATGATACACAAATTACTTAAAGTGTTTCGTCGACTAAGAGACGGAGATATGGACTGGTCTCATTTAGTTTTTCTGTGTGTATGTGTGTTGTGTGTGTGTCTGCTGTAGCACCTGCGTACTGCTGCCAAATTTCATTGCGCATTGCGCAGTGAAAAGAAGATTAAATAAATGAATTGTTTATTCTTATTTTTTATAAAATTTCCCATACGAACTAAAATAATTGAAGTCGTTTCCTTGACAATTGACGCTCAATAGC